AGTGTGGTCCTGGACAGTTCCGGCTGGATAATCTATTATCTGTGCTGGCTGGAGGTCTGAGTTCATGATGCAGCTCCCCACTAATTGGACAAGGAGAGACTGCTTTACCAAGTGGGTTGAATTCTAGTCTCAGCATGTAAACTCAGCTGAGGACAGAAGAAAACCTCGAATCTTGTCCCTCTTTGTGGTGCAAGTAAATGTTGAACGTAACTTTCAGATTCCCTTAAAATATGGATGATACAAAAAAACAAAAACAAAACCAAAACCAGTTCAAATTGCAGCATTACTGGAGGTTTATACTAATGTTTTTTGAGAGATTTTGTTTGTTTGTTTTTTATTCTTTGCGCACTGCAGAAGGTTCAGTCAACATGTTCCCAGCACTGCAGACCAGGCCAGATGAAAAAGGTTACAGAAAGTCCACATACTTGCTGCTATGAGTGTGTTTCCTGCCCAGAAAACCATTACAGCAATCGGACAGGTAAAGAATTGTGATACAAATAAAAGTTTATTTAGACATCAATACAATTGTTCCGTTTGTATATAATGTGCCTTGACAACCTTGGGTTTAATTTTGGAAGGGGATTTAAATATTTGTTTATGATCAGTTTCCCATAAAACTTGCTATAAATGCTTCTTAGGAGACCAAACTTAAAGCAGTTAGATTGACCAGCTAACTATCATTATCCTTTGCTAGGATGGAAATTCTGGCTGATATATCAGTGAAACTGACTCAGTCTTGCCTCCCTGTCTTTCCATAGTACACCCAGTCCAATAAGGAAGAATTTCTTGACTGTGAGGGTGGTAAGGCACTGGAACAGGTTGCCCAGAGAAGTTGTTGTGGATGCCCCCTCTTTGGAAGTGTTCAAGGGCAGGTTGGATGGAGCTACCTGATGTAGTGGAAGGTGTCCCTGCCTCTGGCAGGGGGGGTTGTAACTAGATGGTCTTTGAAGGTCCCTTCCAACCCAAACCCTTCTATGAGCCTATGCATCTACGAAGTTCAAGCGTTATGTATTTTGCTTACCAGAATTGTACAGTAATATTTTCTAATATCAAATCTGATGTGTACTTTACCAGTGGTTCATTTATAGGTTTAAGCAAAAATTTTTAAAGGAGAAAATTAAATATGGAGGAGAGAGATGGAATTAAGAAAATTGTGGTACTTTGTACTTTTAATATTCTGAGAGCAGAAGGAAATTAAATTTTACCTTCTTCTTCAATTAGCTGTGAAATTTCTCCATATCAGAGGACAAGAATTTCAAAGCAAAAGCACCTTTCAAATCATAAACTAAAGCAATGTTTCTTCTTGTTATTGTATTTCAAAAGCTATCTGTAATGAGCATGTTGGGGTGTTTTCTTGTCAAAATAGACAAACAAAAGAAAAATAGTTCAAATTTTTTACAAGACAATTGATTATTTATTTTTCCGGTTTTAGTAAAAGTTTGCCTGTCCAGCGCTCTGGCCAGGTCACATATTGCTGGTCAGTGATGACCAAGACGGTTTTAGAACCCTGGTCATTCTCCCTGTCCTCTCTCTGTCCCTGGCTGCAGGAAACCCTTGCTCTCAGCTGGCAGGCAGTTCTGTCAGTGCCGCCACAGCCACCGCAGCTCTGCAGCTCCTCCACCTGGACGGCGACAGCAGCAGTCAGATGCAGTCAGACGCAGTCAGACACGTCTTTTCCTCTTAGCATCCCTTTCCACATTGGTCCTGTATCTCAAGGCCGATAAAACACTTTGCAGTTTATTTACTTCGGGTTCTTGAATTATCTTCCTTTTTTTCTGCTTCCAGATATGGATTACTGCTACCGATGTAACAACAAAACCTACTGGGCTCCCATCAACAGTACCACATGCTACAAAAAGACAATCTATTTCCTCGCCTGGACTGACTGGTTTGCTGTTTTCCTCCTCCTTCTGTCTGCTTTCGGGGTTGTGCTAGTTTTGTCAATTTGTGTAATATTTACTAAAAACTTGAACACACCAGTTGTAAAGGCATCAGGCGGTCTGACTGTCTGCTATATTATTCTCTTCAGTCACTTCTTAATTTTTTTAAGCACCATCTTCTTCATAGATGTACCCACAGAATTCAAATGTAAAATAAGACAAGCACTCTTTGGTATAAGTTTTACACTCTGCATTTCATGTATTTTAATGAAGTCACTAAAAATTTTACTAGCCTTCAGCTTTGATCCCAAGCTTCAGAATTTCCTGAAATGCATGTATAAACCTATTCCCACTGTGGTCACCTGCACTGGAATTCAAGTTATCATTTGTACCTTCTGGCTAATATTTAGGACACCTTTTGTAAACCAAAATTTCTCAATCCCAAGAGCAATAATTCTGGAGTGCAATGAGGGGTCTATTGTAGCTTTTGGGATTATGTTGGGCTACATCGCTGCTCTAGCCTTTATTTGCTTCATATTTGCCTTTAAAGGTAGGAAATTGCCAGAGAACTACAATGAAGCTAAATTCATCACTTTTGGCATGCTAATTTACTTCATAGCATGGATTGTATTTATCCCTGTCCATGCAACTACATTTGGCAAATACTTGCCAGCAGTGGAAATCATCGTTGTTTTAATATCCAATTACGGAATCCTCTGCTGCACTTTTCTTCCAAAGTGCTATATCATCATTTACAAGCAAGAAACAAACACAAAATCTGCCTTTCTCAAAATGGTTTACACGTATTCCTCTAAAAGTGCAGGTAGTGTTGCTGTTAGTCAGGTTTCTTTGGATTCAAAGTCTTCCAGCTTCCGAGCTCCTATCTCAGACTCCTGTAAAACTGACAAAAACTCTGTGAATGGAAACTGCCAGTTCCAAGTGCCAGGGCAGCCATTAATAAAAGGCAAGGTTCTTCCAAAAAATGCTGCCAGGAAAAGAGTCTCTAGCATATGACTGGCCAGTGGTCAAGTACTGGAAGATAAAAAGCCATCTTAGGGAGCCATTTATCTCTCAGATCTCTTTCCTTTTGGCATCCCCAAGGAGAGCAGGACATGTGAAAACTCTTCTCCTCCTGTACTTAAGCAGTTAGCCATTACCAGATCTGAAAGGCTTTCCTGGCTCTGAGAGTCCAGTCCTTGCACCTGCAGGCTCCATGATGCGCTGTCCCCTTCAACGGCACCTGTGGGAACGTATTCTGCAATCTCCCTTCCTCAAGTGAGACAGAAACATCACAAAATTATTATTTCTTACAGTCGTATAGATGGGACCACATGAGTTTACTCCACTTCTTTTGCCTCTGATACACAATTCTTTACGGAGCTATTCTCATCTGGCCCCATTTCACAGATCAAAGAGAACCTTGTCCCAGCCTTTGTTTGCTAGGCTAAACAAGCCGAGTCCTTTAGTCTCCACTTTTAATATAGGCTTTCCATTCTTCTGAACTTCCAAATGTAACCTTTTTCACCTGGTATCAGTGAATCTCTTTTTTTTCCTCCCCAAAATTGCACACCTTATTACAGATGAGCGCTGCAGTAACCTTTAAAGTTCCTTGTATTTATCAGGATGGTAATGAACTAGAGACAGGTCTATAAAACAATTAAAGAATTTCTCAGGAGCTCTGTAGTTATACGTACGTTCATCTACGTTTTTTTCTCCATACTCAGAGGAAATACACTGATTCACCTCGTGCACCTCCTCTGATGCACGAAGAGAGAGCCTACTGTGTTTTTCTCCAGATATCCTCTTAGTTGAGAGTGTAAGGACAATGTGTAATGTCAAAACTTAAAACCCTTCATTGATTCCTCTCATTAGGATAAATAGTGTAATTACCAATATCAGCATCAGTACATCCTGGGAATTTTTGGGGGGGTTGTATACAAGTTAAGAAAATCTGATTTTCAATAAGAACATGCCAATGCACCATACAGTACATAGAAATAGCACAAGATTGAACTGGCATGATCTGAATTGGATGAGTCTCTGCTCTGTAGTGACATGAGCACAGCTGTGCTGTGCCTTCTGCATGAGAGCCAAAAGGCAAATTCAGAGAAGGAGGAACTCTTCTGTCAGGGTAATGGTACCACGGAGCTTTTTCAGACTCTAAACAGCAGAGCTACACTGTCAGTTCAGGACCAGGAAAAATACTTTTCCATGTTCTGAAAGCCTGAAATATATTTTAACTTCTGTGCCATGTTACTATGAAATAATACTAAATTCCTTGAGTTTTGCCCATGCTTCTGTTTTGATCCAGAATAACTGGATGTTGTAGAATAGCAAAATAAAAGCAGTAGATTTCGTGTTACAGAGGCATGTTGTACTATTGTTATGTAATTTATGTCTATTTTTATAAAATTTTTATTTATATGTTGTAACCCTTACCATATTTTTCTATTCATATTTTGTTAAAAATAAAAAATAAATCACATTTCAAAAATGGACATGGGCAATGAAATTATGACACGTAGACTAGGTATGTACTGTGTATCTATGAAGACATTTTAAAGTAATTTGAATGGCAAGAGTGCAATTTACCTACAGACTTGTGTAATTGCAAACATTCTGTTGCTGATTGGAGGAATGAAGTTTTATGCATATATATTTATATGATGAATGCTGTTCATACATCAGTTGTTGCAAATACTTTTCTGGATATGAAGTTATGTATAATAAGGTTACAATTACTGCAATTCGACTGCCAGTGCAGCAAGAAGTCTCTCCCTAAAAGAGAGAAGCAAAGATTACATTGCATGACTGTCAGCAATCAGCTGGTTAGGAAAGTTAATTTGGCTCAAATGTCATGCCTGTATTTATTGTTTCCAAAAGCGTTGAGTGTAGCATGTCTTGAATCTATATGAAAGGGAATGATTAAAGCCATATTGTTATTTCAAATTGAGTTTGCTTACTTAATTTCCTCACCTCTCCACATGATCTTCTGTTTGGCCTTGAACAACAACAATACACACACCTGTAAGGTGTTTCCACTGTAGACCTCAGAGTGCTTCTTAGAAACTTCCTTTAGGTTGAAAGTTGTGTATGGCAGGGCATTCCTCCTATAAGACAATGAGGAAAGTGTCTAGAGGAACAGGGCCTAGTGACAGCAACGTGAAGGTCTCTACTGAGGTATCTTTAAGGAAAGACACCATATATGGCAGAATTTCAAAGGAGCCCTACCTGCTGCATCTAATTCTTCAGCTACTCGAGTCTTGTGCAAAGCACAGTCAACAGTTGAGCTGAGACCATGTAACAGATTTGCTAGCCTGGCTTGGCAGAAAAAAGAGACACTATAGCAAGTTGTGTTGCATGTTTTTAAATGTTTTGTCTGTAAGAAGCAATTGATCATATGTAGGTAGAACATAAAAGGATTGTGCTACAGAGGATATGAAAAGGCTTAAAATGGGAATTCATTATGCTAAAGAAGCATTTGCGCACTTTCGCCTGCCCAGAGCAGTAAGTATTCCACCAACGTAACTATTCCTGTTACCAGTCATGGGGACATGAAATGAGCCTGAAACAGATTTTCATCCCCAGAACACAGAACAGAATCGCCTTCCAGAGTCATAGCAAAGCCTCAGCATGATGCTCCCAGAGCCACAGCCCATAGGTCAGGTCATGTGGGGCCAAAGGGGTCAGCTCATTTTTTTCTGGCTCACAGCACACTCTCCTTGTTTACTTTGGAAAGATCCTAAAACTAATTCTCAAGACACTAACATCCCATGAGCACATTTTCTGTCTCTGAGAGCAATAGAGAGAACAAATGTCCCCAAATACACTGCTGTTCATAGAGAAATCAAATGTGAAAATATTGTTAGTTGAAGTCAGTAGGAGGCAGCCCTGAATGTAAACACTATTGAAGCTTTTTGGGTCTCATTAATTGTTAATGATGCTAAATGATGCATTCTGAACCCACTATCACACAACGCACAATACCTTCAGGGAGACTGAAGACTATGAAGGCCACCAAGTATTGAAGTCCTCTTCTCCAGGGCATAATTCCCTCAAGATTTCAGTAGCTCTGGCTGTGGAAATGCCTTTCAGCTGCCCAGAATCTTTAGAGCGGTTCTTTGGCGAGAGCAGAAAATTATTTATGTGTCTTCCAGGCTTCCTCCCAGCAGCTCTGCTCATGGCCATTGGAACTACAGTGACTCTAAATGTGTGGTTTAACATCATGAGTAGCAGCTAATAGCAGTGTTTGGGATGCTGCTCATAATGTATGACACTGAGCAGCCCAGTCCAGATGTGTTGACTCTTCCTACCCTTCCCAGATATGTCTCCAGGGACAAGGACCATGCTTAACCATGCTATGTCATTCTCTTTGAGCAGGAAGAAGGCAAGGGTAAAGTATCACCCTCTAGGTCATTTCTATCAATGTGTATTCATCTCCTTGACAACATTCTGAAAAAGGACAGAGCTGCTCAGGGAATGTATGTGAGTGTGCAAAGAGGTGCATCTCTTCCTATTTGTTTTTTTTAGAAGAACATGGGAAAGCTGGTGCAGAGCTTTGATTCAGAGAGCTAGATTCTTCCATCTAGAGACTGGCTCATTAGCAAATAGAAATTTTGTTCTGAAATAGAATGTGGGAAGACTGATTTCTGAATTTATTTTTTTTAAAGTTGGTATGAGTTAAATGGATTGGAATGGCTTTGATATTTTACCGACAATAAGGACATGTTGTTACTTTAATGATTTTGGAATAAAAACTGTACATGTATAGATAAGAAAACATCAGCATGGGACTACTTACTGAAAAGAAAGTACTTTTTTGAATATCTTTCCAGAGTGAAATGCTGTTCAAATGACAGTTTAAAAAAAGTTCTAATATAAAGGATGCTAGAACTCACTTTGGTGAAACCAATTTCTGATTTCCTATACCAAACAATTTGCTTTCAGAAAAAGGTGCTTATCTCTTGCTCTGCTCCTGAAAAAAAAGGTAGCTGGAGGTTTTGGCTGCAAACAGTTCAATACTCCTCATTTGTGCTGTCTTGCTGAGACAAGACTGTAGCTGTTGCTGGGTAGTGATACTCCCTGGGGAGCAAGACTTCCTCTGTTCATCAGCAGTCACTCTGGCTTTGGTTGATGCACGTAAAATCTTCCACTGTTTGGTGCCTCAGACACAATTCTATTGAGACAGTCTTATACACTGTCACTGATATCATGCTGACATGGGCTGTTTCTTACTAAATATGTATTCTGTGCTGACAATCTTTTTGTTCAAGGATATGTTCATACTGAAATTTATTTGTTTGTGGGTTTTTGTTTTGTTTTGCCTTAGGTTTTTTTAAATAAGGGCTTAATCTGACTAGGACATGAAAGGAAAACAGAAAAAAGGTTTTCAGTTGAAGCAAATGGAAAAGTATATGATGAGAATCAGTATGTTTGAACCTTCTGAAAGCAGTAAAATGACAGAAACACGGATGCGGGCAGCTCTGTTACAGAACTTGAATCCACCTTGCTCTGAAACATAGACTCATAGAATGATTTGCATTGGAAGGGACCTTAAAGATTACAGAGTTCCAACCCTCCCCTGCCATGTGCAGAGACACCTTCCACTAGACCAGGTTGCTCAATGCCTCATCTCACCTGCCAAGGATGGGTCATCCACAACTTCTCTGGGCAACCTGCACCAGTGTCTCACCAACCTCACAGGAAAGAATTTCTTCCTAATCTAAACCTACTTTGTTTCAACTTAAAGCCATTACTCCTTTCAATAGGGAAATAGGCCCTTGTACAAAGGCTCACTCCAGATCTCTTGTAGGCCCCCTTTAGTTACTGGAAGGCTGCTCTAGGGTTTCCTTAGAACTTCTCCAGGCTGAACAACCTCAGCTCTCTCTACCTGTCTTCATGGAAGAGGTACTCCAGCCCTCTGGTCATCTTTGTGGCCCTTCTCTGGACTCACTCCAGCAGGCCCATGTCCTAACGCGAAAGTGAACTACTGTGGCTGTTTCTTTAGCCGAATTTTGACCTGAAAGCTGACCTTTCCACACTGGAGTTGCAGTCCGTGAGTGTGGCAGGTGAGCAGGATGCCTTCTCCGGAGGACCGATCCCTGCCGTGTCGGCGGCCGTCCCGCCTTGCCTCGCGTCCGGGCGCGGCTGGAAGGGTCCGCGGGACGGGGCGGGGCCGGGCGGGGCCGGGATCGGGACCGGAGCCACTCCCGTCGAGGCAGAGGGCCTCGCCGCGGCAGAGGGTACCGCTAATCCTCGCCGCCCTGGCCATGCTGCCGGCGCTTCTCCGCCCCGGGCGGCTGCTGTCCGCCGCGCCGCTCCGCCCGCCCGCGCCGCCCGCGCCGCGGGGAGCCGCCGCCGGCGGGGAGCCCGCCCGGAGCCCGGGCACCTCCCGCGGTAAGGGGGAGAGGAGCTGCGGGGGACCGGCTCCGCAGCAGCGCCCCGGGGCTGACGGGGTGGTGTGCGGGTGGCTCGGGCCCGGGGCTGAGCGGGGCAGAGTTTCCCGGTGGTGCGGCTCGCGCGTGGCACGGCAGCTTGGGTGGTCCCGAATGTTCTCCTGCTGGCTTGGGTACCCACGCCCGCGGGCGGCGGGGGTTCGAACCAGTCCCTCAGGAACACTCATTGCATGTGCGGGTGCTCCAGAGACCCCGCAGAGGTCTCTGCGTAGGCGTAGGCGAGACCTGAAGGTCTAATATCTGGGATTGCTTTTCCAATAACCAAGACGGTCAGGGTTTTCCCCTTCCACCGTTACTAGCAGACATCATTCACTCTTAGTGCACGGTTTGACAAAGTGTTTTTTTCCTAATCTTTAAGCTGAGCAGGCTCACAAGGTTGTTGCAAGTTACAAACCCTCCAAGTTTGACAAAAAAATCCTCCTCTGGACTGGCCGTTTCAAGACAGAAGAAGAGATTCCTCTGAGGATCCCGTAAGTACACTGCCCCTGTCCAAGGGGAACATGGAGCTGAAGGGAAAGCAGTGGCGTGATTCTGATCTAAAGCTTTTCCACAGAGTTTAAAACAGTCGGTTTTTCAACCCTGAAGACTTGGAAACAAATTAGAGGGCAAGAGAATTTCCTGTCCTGGTTAGAGGTTAAGATGAGAAAATGTTCCTTGCTGGAGTCCCCAGAGCCTGGGATAAGAACTGGATCCATCTGAGTAGACAGCCTTGGTTACATTTATGTACTGGCTTGTTTGTTTTGCTTATTCCTAATCTGCAATTGGAGAAGGATGTTATTGGTCAACAATAATTTCTGTTTATAGCTTCCATAAACAGTTCTGAGGGAGCTGGCTGTTACTGAATGATTACATCCAAAAAATATGATGATGATGATGATGATGATGATGATGATTATTGAATTTCAGGAAAATTTACAGAAGTAAATTATGAGAGGACCATTCCCCACCAAGGAAAACTGAGTACTTGATGTAGCCTTAACCTCCCATTCTTGTTGACCCACTGGACTAGATGATCTTTGAAGGTCCCTTCCCACCCAAACCTGACTGTATGGTTCTATGACTTGCTGAAAGTTTGCATCCCCCAAGGGAGTCAGCCACTAAACACATGAAACCCCTCTAATGCCAGTTGCTGTGTTTTCTTAGGCTGTTAGTGTGTTAGACATCTCTCCAGGACACTACTTTTTATCATCACAGCACATCCCTGTCTTTGGTGACATGTTGAGAATAAGCAGCATGCAGAGCTGTGTAAAACAGTTACATCCTCTGCCTGCTCCTGTTGGTTCCTGACAGTTTCGCTGTTGTTTGCTGAGCTGGACAGTGGCTTTCTGAATGGTCTAAACTCTCTTGCACTCTGTTAGTCTCACCATCTTCCCCCAGAGAAAGGTTCAGACACGTCTCAGAAGCTATAAATGCTATTCAAGTCATCGGGAAGTGTTTATAAAGACTCATTGCATTTGCCAGCCCATAAACATACACGCACACAAATCACTCATTTCTGTGCCATAGCTGGCCTGGCAAGTTCGTGTTACCACCTTGTGCTTTCTGGGTGAGCGAGGTCTTTTTACAACTGTAAGATCATAAGTATATACTAGAAGTAGGTAAAAGTGATACACTGAAGCTGAACTGTGACACTGTTTAACTGTTGTTTAAAAGAAAAAAGAATTGCAAGATGTTGCTCCCCGTGAACACAATCTAGCTGCTGAAGATAGTTTGTACTAAAGGACAAATCTGCAGTCCTTAGTCAAGGTTGTTATGGTTTGTTTGGGTTTTTTTAAAAACAGCTGTCACTGACTTCAGCAGAGATTACCTGGAGTCTTGATTAAGGATTGAGTAGTAAAGGCCGTAATGTGCAATTAGGGAAGAAAATTGTAAGGTCTGTTTTCCTTAAAGCAGAGGAAGCGAAAATCTGCTTCAGAAGAGCTTCAATTAGTGCATTGTGAAATATGATTAGGCTAATATGCCACACTAATAACATTTATGGTTTTGCTGTTGTTGCAACAAATGGATTATTTGATTAATAATTCTACGTGCTAGGTCTGATGTGTGGTCTGTTTTGAAGATTATTTTTACCATTGTACAAACCAGAAGCAGTTACTTAGAACTGCAGGCATTGTCAAGAAACGTAATGTGCTCGTGTGTGCCTTGGCAAGGAAGGGGGTAGTATGGCATTGGCACTCATAGGATTTGCCCTATTTCGTTGCATTAAACCTTAGAGAGAACCACTGCAGCCCTCAGCCTTGGTACAGGCTTTCATGGGCAGAACTTGCACTGTAAAAACTCCAGCTCTGCCCAATCCCACCACATTAACTTTTAAAGTAAAGCTAAAGGTACTTTGGGGAAAGAGATCATTACACGATCTTTACTTAAAACAAAAAATCAATTCTTTGTGAAACTATCCTTTTTACATATATAGTTGTGGTTTTATACATATGTATTTATATTCTTTATCTTACAAATATATACATATATATATATATATATATATAAAGCATACCTGTGGTGATTTATGAAAGGAAAATGGTGCACAGCCAGCATTATTATGAACATCTTAAAAACTCTACTCCCATGCAACTGTACATGTCCGCTTTGGAAAAAGACTGAGATGAAAGTTTTGGAACAATTTTCATGATTTCCTATACTGCTGGTTCCGAGCAGCCTGCTCAGAGCAGAGGGTGGAAATGGGAGCTGCACCAATGCAGGTTGCTGGGCTGTACACCTCTCTTGCAGCAACTACTGCCAGAGGGCAGAAGTTCTCACTACTTCTGCCTTTGATGACCAGCAAAAATAATCATGTAGACTGTTCTTGTTTAGGCGTACGTTTCTGTGATAGTGATGTGGCTGACATCAGCTGCCCACTTTCTACAAGGCTGCTGCTTTAATAAAGAACTAAACCCTCTAACTCATAGCAGTGCAAACTCTGCTTTAATCCAATCCATGTATTTAATGTCCTTAGCCTACAGGACACCACCTAAACAGCTTAGATATGACAGTAATTGATTTCTTAAGTTAATTTTGAATAAAAGGAACTTGCTTTCATCCCATCGGGTTGACACCACATTTATTTCTGCATCTGTTTAAAACAGATTAACCCCCTTAATTTTCACTATTTTTAAACAGAGCTTAAGGTATGATTTTTGATGTATTCATTTAAATGCAAATATTTACTGCCTGAGCATTTTTTTTTCAGCTTAAAAATAAATACATAAATAAATAAATAATCAGCCTAAATCCATTAAATGTTGCTTTTCCATGGGAAATGGATTAGGGACGGAAAATGAGTGGTACATAACCAACCACAGCAAGCTGAAGATGCTTGTTTCAGAAGGTAATTATACTTTTATTTTTCAGTTGTGATGTTATGTGTGTGATGCTTTGAAGAACAGATACTTTACTGCTTTGTAATGATTCAATTCAACAACTTTAATTGCAGGCCAGAGATGCTAGACAAGGCAAGAAACAAAGCTCGAGTGAAAGCTTGTTACATCATGATTGGACTCTCAATTGTTGCCTGCTTTGCAGTCATTGCTTCAGCTAAAAAGGTGAGCATGGCCATGTAGCATACTTTCAAATTATGGAATTCTGCGAAAAGTAGACTAACCTAAACCAGGAGCAGCAGCTTACACCTACCCAAGTTTTAGCGGACCTGGTCTCTGCCAGCCCCCAGTAAGTAGTTGCTGTCCGTTCCTGAGGTGGGGTAGCTTTCACAGGGGTGCATTGTTACTCCTACCACACTACTCTTCAGATGTTCTACTTCCACAGGCTGCTGCACGTCACGAGTCCTTAACAAGCTGGAACTTGGCAAAGAAGGCCAAGTGGCGGAAGGAGGCTGCGCTAGCCGCGGAGTCAAAAGCAAAGTAACTTCATATGAAACGCCAAATGCCCTTCTAGGAGCAAAATTAACCGTTGCTGAGAGCAATTAGCGAGTTTCACCCATACATGGACAATAGCATGCACACTGGAGCCAATAAGGGTAGTTACAGCATCACAAAAAGAAAGGGAGGGTCTCTTTTATTAGGGAGATACTCGGTGTACGTGTTGCATATAGTTAAAGTTAGTAAGAATGTGTTGCATATGCTTAAAAGCAGTAATTCATTTTAAAGGAGATGAGGTAGTTTTGTAAGAATATTAGGCATCTTTAGTTAGATAATGACAAAATACTTAAAACCACAAAGTTTTCTGTGTGGGACACGGCCTAGTTTTTCAGCACGCAAATCAGACAGTTTGAACTCATTTGCATCAATGCTGTGTTCAAAATGGTATTTGCATTTCCTAGTTTAAGAAGCCACACTTATTGAACCACTAAATAAATACAATAAACATCTGTAAAATAGGTTTTATTGGTTTCTGTACGGTATTTGGAGATTTAACATTCCATAATATTGCATACTACTCATATGTGTTCTGTTACAGTAATGGGCCTTTGGCCTGGATTTAAAGATGCACTATTACTATCTGAAGTTAATATAGGTTATGTAGTTTCCACACATTACATGAAGACATTGTGCCATAAGTTGCCGAAATTTCTCATTCCAGATTTCAGAGAACTCTTAAGGTCACAGTTGAAGTTCACATATCCATTTTCCCACCTATTACAAAAACCTTCAGTTGTACAATTTAATACATTTAAACCAACTGAGAATTAACCACAGAGGAAAGACAATAGTGCATCTTTACTATTTTCTTAAAGACAGGTCCAACAATAAATAGTTTCCAGTTGCAAACTTGTTCTACAGCTAACATTTCTGTGCCAACATTATCACTATTTTCTGATTGCTGCTAGCAACAGTGTTCAAAGCAAATACTAGAAAATTAAAAAGCTGTATGAACCAGTCCTTGGACAAAAGTGCAATGATGAAAAAATTAGATATGATTCAGTGTAACAAGAGAAGGGAACTAATAAAAAAATCTTATGCTCTGCATAGTTGCATAGATTAGCTAGTTAGTATTCACATTTAAACGGAACAAATGGTACCCTTTTAATAAAACCAAAACCCTATATTTTTAAATAGACTTTGTAACTGATGGGGGACTTCAGATTCTGTATTAGATAGCAAACTTTAAGACACTTTCATATCACAATTTTATTTTGTTTTTCTCTCCATATTGGTTTCATTTGTTTAGGCAAAATCATCACAATCATGCCCCTTCCTGCAAATGAGTAAAAAAGAGTTGACTTTAAGTCATAATCTCTGATTTTATATTGTTCATTTATGTGCTTTTAACAAAGTATGAAGTAAACCCAGTGATAAGATAGGAGAGGCCATCCTGTATATTTATCCTTTAAAGGATTTTCAGCATTACTTTTTAACAATTTTAGGGTAAACCAAATGTTGAGTTTAAATAATGATTTTCATATCCAAAGTTCACCGATTTTAGTTCCCTTTTAAACTGTTCCATTTAAATGTATCAGAGGCATGAAATACAGTTTATCTAAATGTGTAAAGTGCAGTCACTAACTGTTCACACACATAGAATAATATATTCACACAACTGAAGACATTCCTTTGAAACAAATAGAATACTTTAAATGTCCCCTCTTTTCTTCATTTTCAAGTCTTTCAACCAAGACTTTCAGAGCTCAGATTTGGTTTAAATAAGAGAGGCTTATAAATGTAGTTTTTACAGGGTTCTTCAAATAAAAAGCAGGCACAGCTGGTTGTTATCAAAACAAGGTTGTTAGAAACAAAGACATACCCTGTTACCTGAATAATTTTCTTACACTAGAACAATATTGAAATTCAGCATTTACTACTAATCTTGGTAGATTTCCATGATTGTTACCCTGTACTTTGATAGATGGGGGGTGAAGGGGAGAGCATGTGAAAGAAGGAAGGTTGGTGTATGAAAACCTAAAACTATGAGAGTAAAAAGGTCATAAGTACAATCACCTAACATTATATGAAAATTTGGCAGCTGTACTCAATATTATCACACTACTCAAAACTGTTGTATGCTGTACAAATCTAGGTTTAAAGTGTCATTTGCTAAAATATCCCATTATTCAGAGTTCATAAAGTAACAGCACTCCTATTTACACTTCTTACACTTCTATCTTCCACTAAAAAGACTTCAAAGGGAGGTTTCTTCCCTCCCAGTTACATCTTAGTCAAAACTGACCATTTATCTTAGAAAATCCACTTCAAGTCCCACATTCAATTACAATATAGAATATATTGCTGTAACATCAAAGTGAAACATCTTAGAATCTTAACTTGCATGTAAAAAAAATTCTAAATATAAAATGGTACTGTAAATGATACCACCTTTAACCTGTATTTTTTCAGTGCATTAAAATATTGTTTAGTGATAAGCACAGTGCCATGGGTGAGTGATTTGAAGTTTAAACTGCAGCTTTTTAGGAAGCATCAAGTGCTTTCATATGTCAAGGATTTCACTTAACCCAGGAGTTTGATGTTAATACATTAATTACAGGTAACAAAAAATAGCAATACTTCAGAGATAACCCAAAGTATTAATTTCTCCAAACAATATATACTACTAATACACCAGAAACACTACTTATATGCAAGTTGAAGCAGAGTATACATTTTTCTGTATTCAAAACTGTTAACATAAAATATCAGAATTCTATTTCTGTTAGTGTTTAACAGCAAACACGGTATATGGTAGAGCCTAAATATTTAGATGACAATAACTTCTAGTTAGTTTTGGTGTCCACATACTTAATGCTATTTACAGTACAACAAACTTTTCCTTCAATTCGAAAGGAGTGATTCACTATTCATTCTTCACTGCAGTATTTCTACTGTCTTATCAAAAGAAAACTGAATTCGTTAACTTAAGGAACAATTCAAGTGGCGGTAGCATATTTGGTCAAAAAACAACACCTACTGTCTAAACTTTTAAGAAGCTACTGTACTAGAAAGGCAAACAATGTTTCTCAAACTGAAGTGGTGTTACCACATTTTGACAGAAGACAGCTGTAAACCATCTGCTTGGTGACTTGTGCAAATCACCATCTCTGTCATTCATAATTGCAGCATTCTTGTGGTAACTACAGCAACTGCTTCCACTGCAAAGTACTGAGTTGTGGCTGACTTCTAATGTCATTTAGCAGCTTTCATTACAGAGCCAGCATCAAACAACCAGCAAGCTCTCTGCTGATTCCAATTTGAAAATTTCTGAAATAGTCTTCTTCCCACATAATTCAGAAAAAACCTTTTCATATATTCAGTATTATATCAGGTAATTAGCATTATATACGTATATCTATTATGTCTTTAAATACATTTTATAAATAAACTTCAACAGTGTGTTGTAAAGTAAGTAATGAATAAAAGTTTCACAATTTAAATAAATATTTTTCACATTCCAATTCAGCTTCTTACAAGCTCTTCTTTGTTTCACACCTTGGTTTTGAAACAATGTTTCTGCTTCAGTACAAGAGGTAGATTTGATAGAGACTGGGCAAGTCAAGCTTACTGCCAAAAATGCAACTGTCAGTAACTGTATTGCTGATATGAAGTTTGAGACTGTATGAAAAATTCAGAACCACTACCTAAAATTCTACCAAGTCTTAGCTTAACAGTTCTTGTTAAATCACATTTAATGCTTTTAGACATGATTACTCACAGTTGTTTTCTGTACATAGGAGATAATGAAAAACACAAATATAAAACAGAGAACAGTTGTCTCTAACACAATATATGAAAGTGCATGAGCTGCTTTTTCATCTATTTCTGCAAAACATATTCAGCTTTTCCTCTAACTTTGGCCAGGAAGAAAAGCCCTCTGAGAAAAAAAACCAAACAACCAAAACCCAAACCGTACAAGTGTTTAAATTTTACGCTTGTATTCACTTCAGTAGTTTAGAGCTGGAAACCCTCCATTGGAGCCTCCTGCTGTTGAAACACAAACTGCTGCTGACTTTCATCCACCTGAGGTGCAATACTAGAGTCCTCTTCTTCAACACCAAAATAATGTTCTATAAGTTCAAAAGCCTTTTGGTAGATCTCTTGGTTTTCATGCCTCTGAAGAAATTCAATTTTATCAAGTCCTAAATTCAAAAGAAAACATTTTCAAAAATCTAGTTGCTTAAATGAATGATGAATTCAAAGAGAAACAGCTTACAGCATGGTACTTCTTAAATAAAAAAATGCAATCCCAAATCACCTCAATTCATTATCATTGATTGTTAATTTCCCAACCCACGTATTTCTACTTCATTTTCTGCTGTCCAAATCAATTTTAAAACTATGCTAAAAGCATATCGGTTAAACTGGGGAGCAGGCTATAGTATCTCCAAAGAAACATGCCATGCCTATAAAGAAATTGAATCTGTATAGAATTAGGATAGCATAAAACTGTTTGCTATAACAATTTCTCATATGCCAGTTTCTTTTCTTTTACTCTTTCAGTCTTCCCCAACTCTGAATTCTATCTCCAATCACGTAGTAGTCACTGGCACAGTCTGGTATCTTTTTTCTAATGTAACTGTGAGATTTGAAGATATTATCTTTCCAAAGGCTTATCATGTGCAAGCTAGAGGACATAACCACCTCTCCTCTGTTGGCTGAATTAAATCTTTGGCTGTCAGTTAGGTTGATACAAAATTGCTGGTTAGCTATTTTAAATAATTCAGTTTTCACTTAAATTGGATTAAGGGCAAGATAAAGGCCTCAGTTAAGAGGCTAAAGCAGTGAGGGTGATATAATAAACTGTTTTCCCTTCTTGAACTTATACTCTGCAGCTTCAGTAGCCTATGCCTAAGTGGTAAGGGAAAAAGAGAACCTAGATATTCAACAGTTAAAATTATGAATGGACTCAAAATCTGGAACAGAATAAATTCCAATATAGTATTCAGTGCTTATTCCTCTTAAACATTAAATTGCGAAGTTCTTCAACGATGTACTTGATTTTAGAAATAAAACTCTGTAACAGGCAATTCAGATTCAAAGACTGCTTTACAGAAAAGTCAGTACCATCTAATCAGATATAATGTGGTCAACTAGAACTGTTACTAGCAGCTTCTGAAATACAGATGTCTGCCAGTTTTGTTAGGTCAGAGCTAAAAAAAAAGATAACTCTCCATAAATAATGCCAATTTCATTATAAGCCAATTTTAACACTGATTTTGTTAAATCAAAAGCCTCCAGTCTTGGAATTCCACAAATTATTTTTAATAGTCTGCCTTTAAAACATGGTTCAATTCAATAACTTCTATAAGAAGAAGAAAATACTATCACAAGGAAAAA